TCTCCACAGCAGAATGGGGTTGCGGAGCGCCGCATTGGCCTGGTCATGGAGGTCGCCCGTACCTCCTTGATCCATGCGGCTGCCCCCCACTTTCTGTGGCCGTTTGCGGTCCGGTACGCTGCGCATCAGCTCAACCTCTGGCCCCGTGTCTCCTTGCCGGAGACCTCGCCCACGCTGCTGTGGACGGGGGAGGTTGGCGATGCGTCGCGTTTCCGGGTCTGGGGGTCTCGAGCTTTTGTCCGCGATACGTCTGCGGACAAGCTCTCCTCCTGTGCTGTTCCCTGCGTCTTCCTCGGCTTTGTCCCGGACGCGTCTGATTGGCAGTTTTACCACGCCACCTCGCGCCGAGTCTTGCCCTCCCAGGACGTCACTTTTGACGAGTCCGTCCCCTATTACCGCCTCTTCCCCTACCGCACTGCCCCGCTCCCCCCCCCACCTCTCTTCCTCGCGCCAGGTGCTGCTGTTGCAGACCCCCTCCCCCCCCTCAGGGTGCCGATCCCTCAGGTGTGTCTCAGGTAGACCCGGTTGAGCCTGTTGAGGTAGCTGTCGACTCTCGTCCTGCTGGGGGTGCTGAGCCTGGGGGTGCTGAGCCTTGGGGTGTGGAGCCTGGGGGTGTGGAGCCTGGGGGTGTGGAGCCTGGGGGTGTGGAGCCTTGGGGTGCTGAGCTTGGGGGTGTGGAGCCTCGTGGTGCTGAGCCGTAGAGTCCGAAGTCTGGGGGTTCTGGGTCTGGAGGTACTGGGCCTGGGAGTCCTACACCTGGAGGAGCCCTCTCCTCGGAGCAGCTGCGTGCGTGGTACTTACAGTACTGCAGCCTCCGGAGAGGTACCGCTCGTGCCGGACGTACAGCTGGGACTGGTGCTAGTGCTTCTTCTCTCGTTAGGGAGCTCCCCTTCCGCGAGCGGATCCGTGAGTGGTACGAGCGGCGCTGCACTCTTCGGAGTGGCGTGCTTCGTGTTGCGGACCCCGCTACCGTTGGAGCTGCTGCTGGTGCTGAGGACTCGGGCGTTGGAGCTGCCGCTGGTGCTGCGGACCCGGGCGTTGGAGCTACTGCTGGTGCTGCGGAGCCGGGTGTTGGAGCTGCTGCTGGTGCTGAGGACTCGGACGTTGGAGCTGCTGCTGGTACTGAGGACCCGGGCTTTGGAGCTGCCGCTGGTGCTGCGGACCCGGGCGTTGGAGCTGCTGCTGGTGCTGAAGACCCGGGCGTTGGAGCTGCCGCTGGTGCTGCGGACACGGGCGTTGGAGCTGTTGCTGGTGCTGAGGACCCGGGCGTTGGAGCTGCTGCTGGTGCTGCGGACCCGCGCGTTAGAGCTGCTGCTGGTGCTCAGGACCCGGGCGTTGGAGCTGCTGCTGGAGCTGCGGACCCAGGTGTTGGAGCTGCCGCTGGTGCTGCGGACCCTGGTGCGGGTGTTCTTGCTGACTCTGGTGTCGCTGCACGGTCCCGGCCGTACTTCGTTCCGCTCCTTCAGCAGGTTCTTGGTCAGCTCCCTCCTCCTTGTCCTCCTCCCTCCTTTGCGTGTCCTCCGTCTGTCCAGCTGCAGTCGCAGTTACCGTCTGCCTCCTCTCTCCCTGGTCCTGCTCCTTACACTGGTCCGACTGGAGGTCTTACTGAGCGTCGTGAGCCTGAGTCTCGTCCTGCGTCGCCTGAGTCTCGTCCTGAGTCGCTTCTCCGCACTGCTCTCTCTAGTAGTCGAGTCCAGCGTCAGCGTCTTCCTGCTGTCCCAGGCACTCACCGAATGGCGCTTCGTCCGTCCACTGCTCCACAGCGTGTCCCACTGCCGTCTCCTCCTGCTTCCTCTCTTCCTGCTCTTGCTGACCCTGGGTCAGACTCTCTTCGTGCTACCAGTCCTACTATCACGCGTCTCCTGGCTACTGTTGTCACTGACCCTTCCTTTGAGTCTGCTGCTGCGTCTGCCTTAGTTGCTGAGCTTGTCGACTTTGCTGCTCGCTGTCGTCTAGACTACGCTGCTAGCCTAGTTGCTGAGTCTTAGTCTGTCTATCCTCCGTCCGTCGGGGGTGAGTGTGCTCTTAGCACTGACGTTCTTAAGGACAGGCAGGAGGAGTTTGAGTGCTTTGCTGCCGCTTTGCCCCATCTCGTGTCCATGCTTGTTGTCCCTGAGAGAGACCCGGATGCACCAGACATCCCGACCCCACGCTCTTACGCAGAGGCGATGGCCGGTCCCTACTCCTCTCAGTGGCAGTCAGCCATGGACACAGAGATGGCTTCTTGGAAGTCCACAAGCACCTACGTCGACGAGGTTCCCCCACCTGGGGCGAACATCGTCAGTGGCATGTGGATTTTGAGGGTGAAGCGGCCGCCGGGCTCCCCGCCTGTCGTCAAGGCGCGTTACGTTGCACGAGGCTTCAGTCAGCGAGAGGGAGTTGACTTCTTCCAGACCTTCTCCCCGACCCCGAAGATGACCACTCTTTGGGTTCTGCTGCACGTCGCCGCTCAGCGTAACTACGAGCTCCACTCGCTTGACTTCAGTACAGCTTTCTTACAGGGCAGCCTGCACGAGGAGATCTGGCTGCGCCGTCCACCTGGCTTCACTGGGTCGTTCCCTCCTGGTACCCAGTGGAGCCCCGGCGGCCAGTCTACAGTCTCCGCCAAGCGCCTCGTGAGTGGCACGACACACTGAGGACTACGCTTGCGGCTCTTGGGTTCGCGCCTTCTACTGCTGACCCGTCGCTGTTTCTACGCACCGACACCTCACTGCCGCCGTTCTACGTCCTTCTGTACGTCGACGACTTGGTCTTTGCTACTGCTGACACTGTGGCACTCGCCCACGTGAAGTTGGAGCTGCAGAAGAGACACACGTGCACAGACCTGGGTGAACTCACAAGCTATCTTGGCTTGCGGATCACCCGGGACAGAGCATGCCGCACCATCACCTTGACTCAGTCACACATGGTGCAGCAGGTCCTTCAGCGCTTCTGCTTCACGTACTCCTCGCCTCAGCCCACTCCTCTGCCTACTGGTCACTCGCTCTCAGCTCTGCCTTCGGATGAGTCCGTAGAGCCGAGTGGCCCGTATCCAGAGCTTGTGGGTTGCCTCATGTACCTGATGACCTGCACTCGACCTGACCTTGCATACCCTCTCAGCATTCTTGCACGCTATGTCGCTCCCGGCCGTCACCGGAAGGAGCACATGGATGCAGCTAAGAGGGTGTTGCGCTACGTGTGCAGTACGTCGGGCATGGGGCTAGTGCTTGGAGGGCGAGTCCCAATTGTTCTCACTGGGCACTCAGACGCTTCTTGGGCAGACGACCAGGCTACTCAGCGGTCGTCTCAGGGTTACTCCTTCAGTCTTGGCTCTGGTTTTGTTTCTTGGCGTTCTACTCGCTCTTCTTCTGTTCTCAGCTCCAGTTGTGAGGCTGAGATCTACGCCACAGCCATGGCGGCCCAGGAGCTATGCTGGCTCACCTACTTGCTGACCGACCTTGGAGAGCAGCCTCGTTCTCCTCGAGTGCTGTACGTCGACAACAAGGCAGCCATTGCCTTGTGTGAGGAGCACAGACTGGAGCACAGAACGAAGCACATTGCTCTGCGTTACTTCTTTGCTCGAGAGCTGCAGCAGCGTGGTCAGCTTCGCCTGCGTTACGTGGCCTCTGAGGCCAACACTGCTGATGTGTTCACCAAGGCGCTTCAGCCTTGTGACCATCAGCGCTTTTGCACTCTTCTAGGCCTTGTGCCTACTGGACCTCACTTGCTTACTTCTTGAGTCTGTTTGTACTGTGATCTCTATATATATACCTGCATGTTTACTCTTGCTAGGTTATGATCATTGTACCTTTTGCTCTATTATAAACCTGCATGTGAACTGGTCTTGTGACCACTTGCTTGTGCTTGGAATTTGTGTGGTATCTTTGAGATCCACCCTGAGCTTGTTTTGCCTTGCTTTGCCTTGACTGGTCTTGTGACCCCTAGTTCTCCCCTACTTCGCCTATGGGGGTGTTTCAAACATTATATATGTTGTGTTAGTTTAGGCTACAGTGGGTTAGCCTATAGGGGGTACACAATTCTAGGGTTAGGTACTTGTACTCATTTCACTGTTAGTTCATTCATTTTCCTGTTCAGTTATTCCAACATATATATGTACCTGCATGCTTGCTCTTGCTAGCTAGAGATCATTGTGCTGTTCTTGTTGCTTATATACCTCTGCATGTGGATTGGCCTTGTGGCCGTTTGCTTGTGCTCACTGTGTGTGGTGACGTTGTGATCCACCCTGAGCTGTGTTTTGTTTCTTCTCTTGACTGGTCTTCTGACCGTTGCTTGCTCCGGCTATCCCCCATTTCGCCTATGGGGGTGTGTCAAAACATATGCATATCATTATCTAGGCTATATTGGGGCTAGCCTTAGGGGGTACAGAAACTTTCTCGACACTCTAGCCTTGTACCCCAACCTTGACCTAATCTCATCATTCTTGCCTTAGTTCTTAACAAGAAACAGGGACAGGGGCGGAAGAGCAAGAGACGCAGACAAAGAGAAAAATGGACTAGCTGAAACATAAGGCAGATTCCCGATCAGGGTTGGCGTTCCCGGTCCGAGGGGGCTCTGTTAGGGGGGCAATGAGGTGAGGGGCGATTCGAGGGGCTGGGAGGGGGTGTGAGGGGATTTAGGGGGTAGGGGGGCCTTAGGGGGCCTTGGGGGTCCATGGGGGGGTTTCCCCACCGCACCACCTCTACTCTACTGTATTGCCTCTTTCCTACTCATTCTAAAATCACCTCTCTACTGTACTGTATTGCCTGATTCCTAATCATTATAAATTCTTGCAGTGGAAAGTGCACTTTTGAGGCGCCTCATACGGTAAGTATACCATTGTCTCATTGGTGGGAAGGAGCCTATAGTTCCATACCGAATTTTCCTATTCTCTCGAGTTGACTCAAAATTCACTCTGTTGGTGGGAAGGAACTAGAGTTCCATGTCTTCCAATTCTGGCAGTGGGAAGCGCAAGATTGAGGTGCCTCAAAAGTAGGTCGTTTCATTGGTGGGAAGGAAAGGAACTAGGGCTCCATGTCGTCCAATTCTGGCAGTGGGAAGCGCAGAATTGCAGCGATCCCAGCAAGATTCACCAGCTCTGCTCAAAGCAGAAAGGCATACCACAAAGAAGACAGATCGGAGACATGATGCATATCGGCAGAAGCACGTGGTAACTTGTAACATGTAGTATGTAGGATGTTGCAGGCAACATTTGCAGGATACGTACGCTCGCCAGAGATGTGCAGGGAAGAGAAGACATGCACTTGCCCGCCATTCGCTCTCACTGCCATTGTGCTCGTGACCAAATGCCTTACCACATATGTACGACAAGCAGCACAGTCAAGGAAAATTTTGGTGCAAGTACGTAAGCTCACCAGACACGTGCAGGGAAGAGAAGACGTGCACTTGGCCGCCTTCGACCTCACCGACTCCACTAGATCCACATAGCGCCGCCTCATCTTCACATCCGCATTGCTGTGGAACAAGGTGTGGGGTGGTGATTGGGGGGGAGGGGAGAGGCGGAAGAGAGGGTGGGAAGAAGACATACACTTGGCTGCCATTCGCTCTCACTGACTCCACCAAATCCACATAGCGCCGCCTCGTCTTCACATCCGCGTTGCTGAATCCAAAGAGTGGGATGTGGAAGGGATGTGGGGATACAAGGAAGGGACGAGACGGAGGGTGAAGGTAGGGGAGGCGAAGAGGAGGACGACGAGGGAGGGGGACAAGATAGGACCCAAGGACAACAACAGGTTCACACAAAACAGGAGCTTACGAAGCCATGAGTAGAGTATTTTTAAGATAAAGAGCTCAGGCAATGAGTCTACTAGAAGGCAATGAGTCACTCCACCACCGAGTCGGTCTAGAGCCACTGAGTCCCACACGTCCTTGCACTCACCTCAGACCACATGCCCCCATGCACCCCCTCTGTGCTCCACTCACTCACCACATGCCTCCTTGAGTCGGTCTAGAGCCACTGAGTCCCACACGTCCTTGCACTCACCTCAGACCACATGCCCCCATGCACCCCCTCTGTGCTCCACTCACTCACCCCATGCCTCCTTGAGTCGGTCTAGAGCCACTGAGTCCCACACGTCCTTGCACTCACCTCAGACCACATGCCCCCATGCACCCCCTCTGTACTCCACTCACTCACCACATGCCTCCTTGAGTCGGTCTAGAGCCACTGAGTCCCACACGTCCTTGCACTCACTTCAGACCACATGCCCCCATGCACTCCCTCTGTGCTCCACTCACTCACCACATGCCTCCTTGAGTCGGTCTAGAGCCACTGAGTCCCACACGTCCTTGCACTCACCTCAGACCACATGCCCCCATGCACCCCCTCTGTGCTCCACTCACTCACCACATGCCTCCTTGAGTCGGTCTAGAGCCACTGAGTCCCACACGTCCTTGCACTCACCTCAGACCACATGCCCCCATGCACCCCCTCTGTGCTCCACTCACTCACCCCATGCCTCCTTGAGTCGGTCTATAGCCACTGAGTCCCGCACGTCCTGAGGAAGCAAGACATCAAGGGCATGGCAAAAGAGGTGTGGTGGGGTGGGGGGGGGGGGGAAGGGGGGTGAGAATCATGGAAGGAGGGTCGTGAAGGCCCAGATCCGCCAGGCATGCTGTGGACACCCCGAGTTGTTTCGAGACGTCTCAAAACAACACTTTATCAGGGGGGTTGTGAAGGCTCAGATCCGCCAGGCATGCCGTGGACACTCCGAGTTTGGCAGCAATGGAAAAAATGCCAATCTACGACGGAACAACAACGGAGGAAGATGGTACTTGGAAATAGTACCTTGGTGAGTGTGAAGGCCCGCTGCAGATCCAGCTCCAGTGTGTGGTATGACCCTAGCTGCGATGACGGGAGCAGATGAGATGAGAGCAGCGTGAGAGAGGCATAGCTGATTACAAACGACCACGTTGCAGATCCAGCTCCAGTGTGTGTGTGATATGACCCCAGCTGCCGTGTAGGGGTTTAGCCAACCACACGAGAGAGCGGCATGAGAACACTTTTGAGTCGCCTCAAAAGTCCCCAGCTGCCGTGTAGGGGTTTCGCAACCACACAAGAGAGCGGCATGAGAACAGCGTATGGGCAGATGTGGGTGGAACCGGAAGGAGAAAGGACAGCTGGATAAGAAAGGTGTAGATCCAGCTCCAATGTGTGTGTGGTGTGTCCCCCCCAGGTGTTGTGCAGGGAGCAGATGAGAGCAGAACAGCGTAAGGGCAGATATGGGCAAGAGAGGACAGTTATGTGTGTGACACAACACTCACACACTCGTTTCACACCCGTTTACTCTTCACTCGTTTTCAGCAAGACTCCCCTCACCTTCACATGCTCATTCTCAGTAATGTTTTTGCCGCGAACTCGAATGACGTGTGCCGATGCGTCGAAATCGACTTCCTGTTAAATAACAGTTGGAAGGGGCGGATTAATCACGGAAAGCAGGTAGTATCCCATTTTTTGTTTTTCTTCACAAAATTGAATGACACACACTTTAGAAACACAAGAAAAATCGATACGTAAAAGCCATTACCACCCTGCTACAATACAATGTATGCCCCCAGGTTACTTTCTAACCCCACAACCGCCCTCCCCTCTCACCTCACCTCCACTTCCACTTCCAGCCTCAATTTGATCCGCTCAGACTAACTGCTGCCTCTCAACCCCACCCCCACAGCTCCTCTCATCTCCCTCCCTGACCTTATCCCAAAACCTGCTATCCTCACTCTATGGTCACTCTCACCCACCACCCTCCTCTCTCTCACCTCCACTGCCACTTCCACCCTCAATTTCATCCGCTCAGACTCACTGCTGTCTCTCAACACCCCAAAGCCTTGCCTTCTCCCTCTCCGTCCTGACCTTAATCCAACACCTGTTATCCTCGCTCTAGTGTCTCTCTCACCCACCGCCCTCCCCACTCACCTCCACTGTCACTTCCAGCCTCAGCTTGATCCTCTCCGACTCACTGCCGCCCCCTCCCGTCTCCTTCTGCACCTTCCTGGAACCATCCAGCAGGAAGAGGGAGGTAGATTTGTAGGAGGGAGGTAGATTTGTAGGACGGAGGGAGCGAGTGTTGGTTTGGGGAATTTGAGACAGCACATGAGAAGATTACTGAGTTGAGCCACGAGGATTTCTTTCTGCGTTACTTCAGTTCAGGAACTGTACAAAGAACCACCCGACCGAATTTCAAGTCGACTCAAAATGTGAGTCAGTCAGCGCATGAGAAGTTGATTGAGATGACCCACAAAGATTGCCTGCTGCGTTAGTTCAGGTACTGTAAAAGACCACCCGAGCGTTCAGGTATGAGGGTCCATTCACGAACCTGAGCATCCACCTGAGCACGAACCTGAACGTGGTGCTCTGCACATGGTCATGCGGAGCAATGAGGTTGTACGCATGCCATAGGTCCTCCTCCACTTCAGGTACGATCTGGATTGAGGGAGGGGTTGGGGGGGGAGGGAGGGGGGAAAGGGGGAGGGGAGGACAGAAAGGGGGTTAAGGATAGAAGGACGAGGAATGAGGTTGTACGCATGCCATAGGTCCTCCTCCACCCTCGGGTACGATCTAGAGGGGAGAAGATCGAGGAGGGAAAGGGGAGAGGTGGCAGAGGTTTGCGGGGCGTTTATGAAAGCAGGGAGATAGTAGGAGGAACGTCGGAGGGATCACGACTGTGTGTACGATAACACACCCAATAACATTTCCGAGGAGTCTCTAACACGTGGCCATAAGTATCGCATTGCATCCTTAACCATACAACATAATCCTCTTCTCCTTTATATGTGACATGCGAGTACTTCAAAGGGAATCGTCCCATTCTTCCATCACACCTTGGCCACCCCTGGGCCGTCTTTCTCGAAGCTCCTCTTCAGAAGCTTCATCGCGGATTCCAACGGTAAGAAGAGAGTATTCACAGAAGGAAAGAACCCCATACTCCACCCAGCACACCTTGGCCACCCCTGGCCCGTCTTTCTCGAAGCTTCTCTTCAGAAGCTTCATCGCGGATTCCGTGTGATTCGCTAAACTTCGTTCAAATCGAAGAGATGACTTGAGTCCAGTCGAAAGCAAGTTGCGGTAAGCTAGTCTAATCTGCTACAAGCTAGTTCCGGTCTGTGCAAGTGAAATTAGCGGATAACCGACTGACTACTTTTCACTCGCCGGTAAAATTTGCTACCTAAATGCAGAAATAACACCTCGGTTCTCGTCCTCGTATTCAGATTCTGAAGCTAGTGCTCCTCGCCCACTATCCGTACCGCAGATTCTGAAAGCATCCAGCTACACTTCAGACAGAGCCCAGAGACTGACCAGCCCACCTAGGAGAACCAGGATTGTTGGGACATATTGTGAGCAGGCAATCTGAAGAATCGAGGGCTGGAGTTAACGACTCGCAACCGCACCTAATCCCTCCTGAATGTTCTACAGCCTACGAGAACGCGTCCAACCTGATCCTCGTCATTTGTTGCTCATGTCAGTGGATAAACTTGACCATTTCTTCTTCGCTCGCTGTTACAAGTTTGCTAAGTACCATCAAAGTCTACACCTCCATTTGCAGCTCGTCACTGCATATGCGTGTGCTGTTCCCTATTTAGCTATGGAGATGTGCAGCAGAACGAGCTTAGCTTAAATGAAGACATCTGTGAGACATTATTGTGAAAGATATTCTCCCAAAGAACAATACTTTCCACTAGATGGATAGACAATCACAAATGGGTAATCTTCAGAATAACCCAACAAACCATACCAATCACGTGTAATAAAGCAGAACAAAAGCGAAATGCAACCCACACAGCACAAAGAGCAGCTCCCAGCCCACCATTCCTAATCAGACTGTCATCTCTAGCTCTAAATGCATCCCATAGTCACCACCTTTCTTCACCCATCCTTCAACTGTCTCTTCCCCATGTTTCCCCCCCTACACCACACGGCCATTCCAGCAAAAAAAACTGGACTGATAATCCCCACCTCAATCTAGTCATCACCATCATTATCATCATTGTCCCCGCGTCCTCCCCTCCTCCCTCCCTGCTTGCCCGCACCGCTCCCATTGCAGTTTCCAGAACCAGACCCACTTCCGTTGCAGTTCCCACCTCCCCCACCGCTCCCCCTCATCCCCGCGCCAGCCCCCTTCCCTGCACCTGCGCCAGTGCGTCCAGCCGCTCCCTGCCGCCCCGCCCCTCCGCTCATGCCGCCCGCTCCGCTTGCACGTCCACCACCACCACCACCACCACCCACGCCTGCACCTGCGCCTGCGCCACGACCGCGGCCCTGCTGCTGCCCCGACCCCTGCCGACCAGCACCGCTGCCGCTGCCATTGCCAGTGCAGCCGCCAGATCGGGAGCACTGGGAGGAACCAGAGCTGGAGCCGGAGCCGTCGCGCTTGCGGTCGCGGTCGCGGTCCTGGTCGCCAGACCCATCCCTCTTGCGATCCCTCTCCCGGTTATCCGCCACCACGTACCCCGCGCTCTGAATGCTCGCTGCCGCCGCGTTTCTCCCCGACCCTCCGCCTCCGCCTCCGCCGTTGCACGAGCCAGACCCGCCGCTGCAGTTTCCGCTGCCCTTCTTGCCCTGCCGCACCTTCCCCGCGCTGTTGCTGCCGCCCAGCCGCCCGCTACGACCCGCACCCGCACCAGCGCCAGCGCCGCTCCCCGTTCGTCCCGCTCCGCCCCCGCGCCCGCCCGCGCCGCCGCCGCCCTGCCGGCCGGCGCCAGTATTCTGTCTTCCGCCGGAGCCGCTGCCGGCGCAGCCGCCGGACTTGCTGCAGGAGCCGTCGCGATCGCGGTCCCTGTCGCGATCCTGGTCGCGGTTGCCGGAGCCGTCCCGCTTGCGATCGCGCTTCGGACGGTCGTCGTCGTCGTCGTCGTCGGCGACGGCGAAAGTCGCGAGGTTGACGACGACGAGCAGGAGGATCCCGAGGGCGAGAAGCTTCGACGAAGCCATCGGTATTCTCAGATGTCCACGGAGGGTAGTGGTATTCTCAGTATATGTAGTAGTGGACACGACAGGCCTACGATAGACGCTGAAAAAGAGTTAACCTGCTATTGAGAGTGAGTAGAACGGGTGGATTTGGTCTAAACGATGCTGAGAAACCCGAGAATGGACTCGGGATTTATAGTAGTAGCATTTGGGTGGGAATGGTTTCGGGACTGTGCCGCGGCGGTCATTACCGGGCTGGGCCGCGGTGGTTTCGCCGGGGCTGTCATATGGTTGTTTCGCCGCGCCCTGGTTTCCGCCGAGTGCGCATCGTACTGGACAGGCGGGCGACACTGGGCCGATGGAGGCGCGAACCTTATCCGCTCGAGTTGAAACAACGCGCGCCGCCGCTGGAAAGCACACGCGACGGGGCGCAGCGCAACACATGACACAGAACGCGCAACACACATGCCTCGGCGGAACGTGACGTGGCGAGGCGAGGCGACGTCCAAACTTGCACGCGCAGCCGAGGCGGAACTCGAGCGAGCCCCCCTCCATCCGCACCGCACCCGGCCCCTCGGCGGAGGCGGCTGTGGGCTAGGCGCTCCGCGAGAGAGAGACTGAGGGCTTGCGCGAGTATGCGCGGTGGGGGGGAAGGGAAAAGGGAGTCTTCCGGCGCTCGGAATTTTCGTCGGAAGCGACGGGTGGAATGGCCCGTCCCCCGACGAGCCGCACACGCATGTTGAGTTCCACCCAGGCTGGCTGGCCGCTACTGTACTACTTCAGTACTGTCCTGCCAAACAAACCCAGACGAACTCACTCACCGCCTCTCTCCTTCCCAATCCGCGCTGGATACAATTGCCAATGGCAGGTCGGTCCGTCGCGCAACGAAAGCTGTCGGAGGAGTGAGCTGTCAGCTGCCTTGCCCGGCGGTTATCCCCTTGGCAGTGGCTGGTAACCAAACAGCATCTGGTGCTATCATAACAGAGGCTTGCTGGCGCACCATGATAGAATCTTTTTACGACACCACACGCTCTAAGTGCGCGCTGAGCTGGCGCGCAAGATCCCGGCTAGCAGTGCTGCTTGACTGCGACGCGACGCTACCGAGGCTGCACGGTTGTACGAGCTACGATCGTTTCTGGCGAAGGCTCGCACTCTCAAGGTCTACTCTACTCCCGTTTTCCCTCGAAGCAGCAGGAGGTGTGAGGCTTCTGACGAAAGAACTAATAGCTGGCTTCAACATAATTGGAACAGCTACAAGTGTGGTGTAATTGTAACAGTAAGTGGCTAGCTAGACATACACTAGCCAATATGAAGATATGTTCATTTTTACATTTGATTACAACGCTAGCACTGTCAATTTCAATCATACTTACCTTCACACATGCGTTAATGGGAGAATAATGCAATCCAAGTACCAGCATTTACCCCGTATTACTTAACATAGTATATGACGCAGTTATTTACATGGATCACCCAACATGAATATAGTGAAGAAATTAAACAGGCTCGTAACTTATTCTATATTCAATAGGTATCATTTTTTAAGAAGCAATATCTTTTTACCTACACCCAGCCTACGTTAGGTTGCCTCGCTGAGGCGCAGTTTCCTACGAAACACCCTTCCAGCAAAGAGCCTCAAGTTTCCAGCGAGGATTCGTCTTTCGCGAACAGCAACTCACGCTCGCGACGAGCACCACCACCAGCGGCAACGTTCGCTAGCTGCAAGACTGCAAGAGGAGGAGCCTTCGCCAGAAAATACCATTGTGTTGACCAAAGGGAGAGGAGTTAGCTGAGAGGTCTAGTTATTTTTTCTGGCTTTGGCGCGTGCGACTCGAGGCTGGGGGGTTGTATTCTAAAGCTATTTCCATGGTAACCTCCTTCCGCGCAGCTGCCTATTCCCCCCCCCCCCCCCCCCCCCTCGCGCCCCTTCCCCCTTCGCCACAGTCTCTCCGATGCGGCATCGTAGCCCAGAAGTGTGCGGGAGTGCGCCCCGGAGCAGATTCGCGACTCGGCGTCGGCCGTCGATGTCATATGGAATGGCCTTGTACTATAAATATCATCTCGTCCCGTCCAACTCCCTCATCACACTCAAATCTACAAATTGCAACCACTGTGACACAGCTTCCCCGGACATTGACGGCCATCGTTAGATCCTACCGTCTATCTCCGACAACTTGAACGGCGACCGTCTACTTTGCACTTCAGAGCCGTCCATTGGGGCCAGTTGGCGTCGGCTTTACCATGTTAAGCTTATTACCATAGTACCGTATCGCCCCGGATATAACCTCAGGCCTATGTTAAGCGCATGCGCTTCTATCTGGAGCAATGCGTTTATGGCCGATCCTCAATTAGAAGCGCACCCTCTAAAATAACCTTACTTATTATAAGCGCACCTTGCTGTATAGACAAGAATGTCTGTTGTTTTTTTTTTCACTTTCTTTACAACCTTCGTACAAACTACATTACGCTAGCTAAAAAAATCAACTAAAAATTTCCAGTCAAATACATTAGACTAGCATCCTAGCCTACACAACATTTTTAAGTTTAGTCTAGCCTAAGGCCTACTCCTCATCCAACTCAGGCTCCATGGAGTTGTTGCCAAAGAACCCGTCTGCTTGGATGTCGTCATCAACCTCTACCTCGTGGAATAGCTGACCTCTCCGGTGCGCCAGCACCAGTCCGTCTTCACTCCCGTCAAGGGCATTGCTGATGCCGCAGGTGAGGAACGCTCTCTTAATCAGGTCGGCGGGCACAGCTTTCCACGCCCGTGAAATCCACTTGAGCACCACCTCCGGAGATGGTTTCTTAATGTTCCCTGCACCACATACACGGGGGTGGGAAACACGTGGGTCCACAAGTAGGCAGACATACAGACGAAGCGGTCACGGGAGAACATTTTTGCGTACCTGCGGGTGTCAGGATGTTCATGCCGTCCTGCTCGAACCAGGTCTGGTACTGCTGCCGAACACTCACCTTGAAGCTTTTATTGACCGACACATCGAGCGGCTGCAAGTCTGCCGTGCATCCCGCTGGGATGACCGCCGGCACGATGTTGAGTTCCGCGAACTTCGCCTTGACTTCGGGTGTTAGGTGTCCACGATAGGAGTCGAGCACTAGCATGGCGCTCCGGCTCTGCAATCCGAACTTCGGTTTCAGGAACGACACCACGCCTGCACTGAGCCACTCGATTACGCCCGAGGCCTCCATCCACCAGTTAGCTTGGCAACCGACCACGACATCTGCATACAAGCAAGCGGTGGTTAGATTTTACTTTTGTTTTTCCCCTCGGAAACAAGCGCATACGCAGTTTCTTACCATTCGGAAAGTCACCCTTTGGGAGGGTCTTGCGCTTGAAAAACACCCACGGCTTCAACTTCTCGCTCGTCGCCGTGCACGCCAGCATCACAGTGACTCTCTCTTTCTGGTAACCACCACTGCGGATAGGCACCGACTTCACGCCCGTCTGCTCCATCGTGGTAGTCGCCGGCATCTCCAGCCACAAAGGCGTCTGGTCGGCATTGATGATGTAACGATTGTCGATGTCGTAGTCGTGGCGTGCGTCGCGGACAAACTGCCAAAATTCCTTGCACTGCTTGGCCACATCTGCGCACGGGGAGGGAGGAACGGTTACAAGGGCGGATGAGCACCGCTACAGATAAACAAACATGGGCAAGAAAGTACTGAAATGCAAGATAAAACTTCACGATAGGATGACAGTGCACGGACAGGCACTTACGCTGCTGTGTCTTTTGCGCCACCTTTGTTTTCATGCGCACGGTGAGATTCCACCGCTTGCGGAACCGCTCCGTCCAGCGCTGACTCGCCTTCCACTTGACGTACGGGAACAACACCTTCATCACCTCTTTTGACCACTCTTGCAGCCGGCCGACTGATACTGCCACACCGCGGCGTCGCCAGTCCAGGAGTTGGGCGTACACCTTCATCTCCATGGGTCTGTACCAGGAAGACCTTCCGCGCCCATGAAGTCGACACCGAGCCCTGTGTGCAACCTTGAGCTCCTCCGCTTGGTTTTTCCACTCTGTGAGGCATTTGCGGTGTATGCCAGACTCCCGCGCGACCTCGTTTACCGATGCAGCAAGCTCCAGCCGAACAAGCCACTTCAGTTTCTCCTGGGCGGTGTAGCGCTGCCGTTTGTGTTGAGTCGGCTTGTGCCTGGGAGAGGGGGGCCGGGCATCACGGTTCTCAGAGGAGGGGTGGGGTCGCTTTTTGTTAATCGACGGATACGTTGGTATCGGCATCTTCTCGCGTGGTGCGTCGCGCCACCAAGACTCCACACCGTCGTCGTCCGCGTCTGTAGGTTCACGATCTGGGAACACGTCCTCCTCGGCGCCCTCTTCACCGTCGACTCCACCGTCGACTCCAGCATCGGCGTCGCATGTGGGTTGTTTATCGGCGGCCACGCCATCGTCGGCGCCCACAGCCGACTCGTCCCACGTGCAGGCTTCAGGATTTCCCCACCGAGGTGCAGTCGGCGGACCATTGATTTGCCTAGCCTTGGGTGTGTCCGGTTCAGACAACCACTCGTCGAAAGTGGCAGGCAAATATAACTGGAGCACGGGCCGATGGTGACCCCATGCGTCAGGAACAGGAGGAGTCGGAGGATTGGGAGGAGCGGGAGGAGCAGGAGGAGCAGGAGGTGCAGGAGGAGCAGGCGGAGCAGGCGGTGCAGGGGGTGTAGGTGGCACTGGAGGCGCTGGTGGCTCACGTGTATACCACCCGTCCGAGGTTAGTCGCCAGGCGCGGGTTGGTTTCTTCTTGAAAAGGAGGTGCGTCCCACTGAATTCCGCCATGGCTTTGCCAGCCAGGCGGGCTAGACTAGAAACAGAATGAAAAAATGAGTAGGAGGGTGCAGAAATGGGCAACGACGGGGACCCCTGCGGGCTAGCGGCTCGTGGTCCTCGTCAATGACAGGCAGGAAACCCCTGCCTACCCCCGTAGAGGAACCTGCGTGGCAGCATATTCGCAGCGCTGGCAGGGAATCTTCCCCACCCTTCAAGAGGGTTCGGAAGAAATGCAGATGCCACGCAGCGCATGCGGCTGTGATTGGGCCGCACGGCAATATCCTCGTCACTCCTGTCACGTTCGATGGTTCTAGACAACTTTGTACGGTGGGAAACTGAACCGCAGCTGTTTTTGCCTAAAAACCATGCACGATCCCACTTGTTCCATGGTCCGTTGGATTCGCCTTATTGGGGGCTTCAGTTTAGTATGTTTAAAAGTGAATTTCATTTTTTCCTTATTATAGGCGCATGCGCTTATACAGACACCTCAATTAGAAGCGCACCCCCCCAAAAAACACTGTTTTATTATAAGCGCACCTGCGCTTTTATCCGGGGTAATACGGTACTTTATTACCATAAATTCATCCCTCTATTCCGGCGATAGTACACCGATCGATGGCTTCGTCGAAGCTTCTCGCCCTCGTGATCGTCCTGCTCCTCCTCATCAACCTCGCGACCTTCGCCGTCGCCGACGCCGACGACGACGACCGCCCGAAGTGCGAGAGAGAGCGCAAGAGGGACGGCTCGAGCAACCGCGACTAGGATCGCGACAGGGACCGCGACCGCGACGGCTCCTGCGGCAAGTCCGGCGGCTGCGCGGGCAGCGCCAGCGGCAGCGGAGGCGGCGCCGGCGCCGGCGGCAAGCAGAAAGCTGGCGCCGGCCGGCAGGGCGGCGGCGGCGGGGGAAGCGGCGATGGCGCGGGTGCGGGTCGTGGCGGGCGGTTGGGCGGCAGCAACAGCGTGGGGAAGGTGCGGCAGGGCAAGAAGGGCGATGGAAACTGCAGCGGCGGGTCCGGCTCGTGCAACGGCGGGGGCGGAGGCGGAGGGTCAGGGAGAAACGCGGCGGCGGTGAGCATTCACAGTGCCATGCAGGGCGGTGGCATGCAGAGCGCGGGGTACGTGGTGGCGGACAACCGGGAGAGGGATAGCAAGAGGGACGGGTCTGGCGACCAGGACCGCGACCGCGACCGCAAGCGCGACGGCTCCGGCTCCAGCTCTGGTTCCTCCCAGTGCTCCCGATCTGGCGGCTGCGCTGGCAATGGCAGCGGCAGCGGTGCTGGTCAGCAGGGGTCGGGGCAGCAGCAGGGCCGCGGGCGTGGCGCAGGTGCAGGCATGGGTGGTGGTGGTGGTGGTGGTGGTGGTGGTGGTGGTGGTGGTGGTGGTGGTGGTGGTGGTGGTGGTGGTGGTGGTGGTGGTGGTGGTGGTGGTGGTGGAGGACGTGCAGGCGGAGCGGGCGGCATGAGCGGAGGGGCGGGGCGGCAGGGAGCGGCGGGACGCATGGGTGCAGGCGCAGGGAAGGGGGCTGGCGCGGGGTTGAGGGGGAGCGGTGGGGGAGGCGGAAACTGCAATGGAAGTGGGTCTGGGTCTGGAAACTGCAATGGGAGTGGTGCAGTTAGGAAGGGAGGGAGGATGGGAGGACGTGGGGGCAGTGACGACAATGACGGTGATGACTAGATTGTGTTGGTGCCCTTTGCAGTGATTCTAAGTGCCTAACAGGGATGGCTGTGTGGTGGTGGGGGACCTTGGAGAAGATTCAGCAGCATTTTGGAGCTGGAAGGAAGGGAGTGCTGTGGTGGAGGAATGGAATGCCGGAGTAGTGGCTGTGTGGAGTGGGGGTAACTATGGAAAGAGATACGGTAGGTGATGGTCAGTGTGATATGACATGACATGATATGGTATCAGCTGACTTGTTGAAATGGTTGGGTGGAGGTGGGAAAGGAAGTATTCAATAGTGGTAGCTGGCTGGCAGCCTCACTGGTTGCAATAGGTGGACTGAAAGGAACGAAGCTTACTGGTCCGGTGGTTGCTTAGTGCCGTGTGTGAATTGAATCATGTTTTGCCTTAGCTCATCGTATCATGTGCTTGCCTCGGCTTGCCCCTACTAATATCAACCGTTTGTTGAGGCCTAGATTTGCTGCTCAGGGTAGGGGGGCCTATCATATGGTGGTATACAGTATCTGCCTTACTATGTACTAATACGGTACAATAAGAGGACAGAAATATCTAGATGGTTTTCCACTCGCACTTTCAGGCCCATTGGTGGTGTAGGGACGGGACGGGATGGGCTGCTACCGGTATGGAGGTGCTTCAAAGCGGGAGCTAGTTGGGGGGTGGGTGGGATGGGACATGGATTCCAGCCCGCCTTTCAGGCATACGGTATCTGAGAAAGGAGAAGCGCCATCGCCACGTAATAAAAGATTTGTTTTGAGACGACTCAAAACAAATATTTTTATCACGTGGGGGGTGGGTGGGATGGGACATGGATTTCAGCCCGCCTTTCATGCATATTTCAGCCCGCATACGGTATCTGAGAAAGGAGAAGCGCCATCGCTTTGTGGGAGGTGGTTGGTGGGTTCTTGCACTTGAGTGGTGGGGGCCAGGGAGAGGGGGGTTTCGGCGGGGGAGGTGGGGGGACGGGTTTCATAGGAGGTGGTTACAAAAGGGGTTTTAAGGGGTTGGGAGGGAAAGAATTCAGCCTGCCAGTCTGGCTCATCTCTGGGAGAAAGAGCGCCATCGCCTCTTGGGAGGTGGTGGGTACTTGCGCTTGGGTGGGGGGGGGGGCTGGGAGGAGGGGGTTTTGGTGGTGGGGGGCTGGGCTTTCTAGGTGGGCTTGGAGGAGGTTTCAGAGGTATGGGAGGTGGTTTGGGGGGAGGGAATGGAGGGGGCTTGGGGGGAGGAGAGGGAGGGGGTCTTGGTGGGGGAGAAGTTGTGAGTGATTTCAGTGGTGGGGGGCTTGGGGGTGGTCTAGGGGGAGGGGAGGGTGGAGGCTTAGGGGAAGGGGAGGGCGGAGGCTTAGGGTGAGGGGAGGGAGGGGGCTTACCAGTGGTTGAAGTCTTGGGAGGGGGGGAAGGAGGGCGAGGGGGAGGGCGTGGGGGAGGGGAAGGGGGAGGGGGTGGCTTGGGGGGATTCGGGGGAGGTCGGGGTGGGGGAGATGGGGGCCCGGGGGGACTTGGGGGGGGCCGGGGGGGAGGTGAGGGTTTTGGGGGAGGCCGTGGGGGGCTTGGAGGGGGACGGGGGGGGTGGGCGAGGGGGAGGGGAAGGGGAAGGGTTTGGGAGGGAGGGAGGGGGAGCCATGATAGCCTGGAAGCAGGGGGGGAGGTGGGGGAAGGAGAGGGTCTGATCGAAGTAGGAGAAGAAGAGAGTGTAGGAGGGAGAGGAGACAAAGTTGAGAATGTGAGTGGTGTCAACAGCAGAAGCAGCAGGAGGGGAGGAAGCAGGAGCGGAGGCAGGGGAGGTTGTACGAGAAGAGGCGGTTGAAAGGGCAGGGGCAGCAGCGGTGGCAGTGGGAGCAGCGGGGGAGGAGGAGAAGGAGGACCAGGTGTTGAAGGGCACGGGCAGCTGAGAGCCGTTGGATCGGAGAGCAGCAGTGGTGAGATTCCAGCAGTGCGACGGCAGCTGCGATGCAAATGACATGTGCGCCCACCCCCCTGCTGCCGCTGGCGCGAGGGCAGACCTGCAGGATCAGAAAACAAGCAGGAGGGGGCAAGGAGTTGAGAAGGCAGGTGAGGAGGCAGAAGTGAGACAAAGGAGATGTGGGTCCCAACCTCCTGCTACCACTGTTGCTGGAGGGAGGGCAGACCCGGAAGCATGGCAAGGAGCAGGGCAGGTTGAGTGGATGAGACTTTTCACACGTTTCTCACATTGTTGATCCTATTACTCAAGCGTTAATTTCACGCTCTGCTGCCCTTCTAATATTAGTCAAGAAGACCCTTGGGATGGCACATCTGGAAGCATGGCAAGGAGCAGGGCAGGTTGAGTGGATGAGAGGCTTCTGGAGCTGGAAAATCTAAATCGGGAGTTTCTGACTCGGGGAAAGTGGTTTAATTTCCCTTACAACCGTTCACGTGGCGCGGGTCGCAACAGCACCGCGCGCTCATGGTTCCCTAGCTCACGTGGCAGATGTGCGACGCGAAGAACGTGATCTGCGCCGCGGACCGAGCGCCATGCTCGTTTTGGAAACTTGGTGAGAAAATTGCTTCCGCACTCCGCCCTTGCTCGTTCCGACCTTGCTCGGTCCGGCCTTGCCCGTTCTGCCCTTCCTCCTTGTTCCGCCCTTCCTCATCCCATCATGCGTTTCCCCTCATCCCATCATCCATTTCCCCTCATCCCATTAGAGACTTTTCACACATTTTTCACATTAGAAACTTCTCCTTGTGTGAAACCCTGTGCTGCTTCCCTCCCTGTGCTTGCAGAGCTGCCACGGTGTGTCACTGCAGCCCAAGAGCATGAAGCTTCCTGCATCGCACCGGGAAGCTCCCTGCTCCGCCCCTTTTCCTCGTTCCGCAATTTTTCCTCGTTCCGCCCTTTTTCCTCGTTCCGCCCTTTTTCCTCGTTCCGCCCTTTTTCCTCGTTCCACCCTTTTTCCTCGTACCGCCCTTCTTGCTCATTCCGCGCTTCCCCCCTCGTTTCACCCTCCGTGCTCATTCCGCACATCCCCCTCGTTCCGCCCTTCCTCCGCATTCTGCGCTCCCCCCTCATTCCGCCCAATCCTCCTCATTCCACCCAATCCTCCTCATTCCGCCCTTCCTCCTCATTCCGCCCTTCCTCCTCATTCCGCCTTTCCTCCTCATTCCGCCTTTCCTCCTCATTCCGCCCTTCCTACTCATTTTCTGTTTTCCCTCACTCACCCCGTTTTTTGTTTTCCCCCACTCACCTCATTTTCCCCATTGTTCATCCCACTCACCTCACATCCCCCATTGTCCATCTTACTGTTTCCCCATCCCTCAATGTTCACCCCACTGTTTCCCCATCCCCCACTGCTCATCCTACTGTTTCCCCATCTCCCACTGTTTCCCCATGCCCTACTGTTTCCCCATGACCCACTATTTCCCCATCCCCCACTATTCATCCTACTGTTTCCCCATGCCCACTATGCACCCCACTGTTTCCCCATGCCCCACTGCTCATCCTACTGTTTTCCCATGCCCCACTGTTTCCCCATCCCCCACTGTTTCCCCATCTGTAGAAAATCAGGCCTATGTGCACAATGTGCACAAGGAGAAGCTGCTTCTGAAATGTTGAAAAGGGTCTACAAACAGAAAGTTAACTAAAGTGATGAATACAAGCAAAACAAAAGCTAAAATAGGCAGAAAGTGAAGAGAGCTAGCTTGGAGGTGACTTGGGTTGGTCCAAGAGATGAATTTGGTACCCAAGGGACTTGGGGTGGCCAAATGGGTGCTCAAGTCGCCCACAGTCAAGATGGGGACGTGAGGGACCCTCAAAGTGAGCTTGGAAGCGCCCCCTCGAGTGGAACCGCGATTCCACGAATTGGAAACGTCAATTCAAAGCTGGAGCCGCATTTCCGATGTTGAAATTCGTTGGTCTAGGCTGGAGCCGCGTCCCCAAGGTTGGGAAACGTGCCGGGGTGCCCTAAAGCCGAATTTGGGGTGCCTAGAACTTGATAAAGTTACTCAGGGGGAACCCTATAGCTAATATAACCCAACCCCTATTGTGGGAAGGATGTGGAAGAAGAGGTAAGGAGGGTGCAGCAATGAAAGGTCCGGGGTCGGCATTAGAGGTGTGAAGGAAAAATGTGAGAAGCTCCGATTTCAGTTTTTCATACCAACACCGAGGAGCCTGCTTGAGGCCGTACAAGGGCTTGTGCATGAGGCAAACTTGAGGAGAGCCGTTGGCAGGAAGGAGTTCAAAACCGGGTGGTTGGGTCATGTAAATAATCTCGTCAAGGTTGCCATTGAGAAAGGCATTGGAGATGTCGAGTTGATGCATCTCAAGATCAAGGGCAGCAGCAAGGGTGAGGAGCAAGCGAAGTGTAGCAAAGCGAATGGTGGGTGCAAATGTCTCAGTGTAGTCAATGCCCTCACTTTGCGTGAAGCCTTTAATGACCGAACGGGCTTTATAACGCTCGATGGATCCATCCAGGTTCTCTTTGACCTTGAAAACCCATTTGTAAGGGATAGGAGTGCAGTCGGGCGGTTTGGGCACAATGCTGTAAGTGTGGTTGGCCAGGAGTGCAGTAATTTCAGTGTCAGCAGCAGCAAGCCATTGGGGAGCAGCGGGGCTAGAGCGGGCAACAGTAATTGTAGGTGGCTCGTAGTGGGAATGAAGAGCAATGTAGGCAAAGTCATGAAAAAAATGGGCTGACTCGCGATCTTCGTCAAGGATGGAATTAATAGAGGGGTCAGAGAAGTTGAGCTGAAAGTCTTGGGCAGTCGGGGTTGGAAGAGGAGGAAATAGAAGAGGTGAAGAAGTGGGTGTGGAGGCCGGCTTCTGAAGGGAAGTGGGAAGGGTGAAAGGCTGGAAGGGAGGGGTGGGGAGTGTGAGAAAGAGAGGTGTAGACGGAGTAGCAGAGGGAGAGGTTTTTGCATGTGTAGCAGGCAGTGGAGGAGGATTGATAGGGTCTGGTGACGAGGTAGGTTGGGAAGGCGGGTGAAGTGACAAAGTGACAGGTGCGGGAGTAGGGGGTGATGGTAGAGGTGGTGGTGGGTGAAGAGGAGTTGAGGGGGAGGTTTCAAGGAATGTGACATCCCGAGAGTAGACAACCAAGCGGATGGAGGGGATATAAGCACAATATGCTTTGTAACCATCAAGAAGACCATAGCCGAGGAAGATGCCGGGAGCACTGCAGTCATGTTATTTGGATTCTCGATAAAGAGTAGGTAGAAGCATGGAGACAGGGCATCCAAACGCGCAAAAATGGGTGACGTCCGGCCGCTGACCTGTCCATAATTCCACAGGCGTGACATCGCGAGGGATTGAGCGGGAAGGAGAGTGATTGCGAATATATACAGAAGTAAGGGCTACTTCTCCCCACCACCCACGAGGAAGACCGCTGTCATATAACATGCACCGCACTATGTCAAGGATGGTGCGATTCATCCGCTCAGCGACACCATTTTGTTGCGGAGTGTATGGTGTAGAGACTTGTCGGGTGATGCCACGCGAAGCGAGGAAAGTCTGAAAAGCGTCGGAAAGATATTCCGGGGCGCCATCGGAGTGCAAGACCTTGAGATGTGTCTTGCAGTGGCTTTCAACTTGGGCGAGATAGCGCTGAAATGTGCTAAAGACTTCAAAGAGGGATTTGAGAAGGTAGACGGTGGTATAGCGGCTGTAATTCTCAATGAACGTGAGGACATAGGTGGCGCCGCCAAACGTGGTGCCGATGGGAAATGGTCCAGCGACATCAGTGTGAACCAGGTCAAGTGGGGCTGAGCTAGACGAGGTAGAGTTTGGAAATGGCTGGCAGGTCTGCTTCCCAGGAAGGCATGAAATGCAGGTGGAAGGTAGGGAACCGTTGAGGCTGATGCCGCTGACCATCTGTTTGGAATGAAGCTGCTGCAAGCTGTGTCCGTTGAGATGTCCGAAGCGCCGATGCCAAAGAAGAGATGAAGCTGCAGAACAGGATGCGGGAACAAGAGGAGGAGGTGCTGGTGCAGTTGAGACCGTGGCCGGCTGCGAAGCTGAGGCAGGGCTGAGAGAAACGAAGAACAACTTCATGTGCTCATGGGCGACAGCAAGAACCGTGGAGCCTCGGAACACTTGGGAAGGAGCATGAAGAGGGAAGTGGGTAGTGAGTCCTTCGTCTTTCAGCTTACGAACAGAGATGATATTTTTAACAGTCTGGGGAATGTATAGGACATCCCTCAGGGTGATAGGATGGGTATGATTGTTGTGACGGGCGTAGACAAGAATGTCCCCAATGCCTTGGGCAGGGTACTGCTCCCCACCGCCAAACCGGACGCCACTACCAGGAAATGGTTGACAGAGGGAGGAAAATAGATGAGGATCATTACAGAGATGCGAGGATGCGCCGGACTCAAGGAGCCAGGAGGAGGAAGAAGGAGAGCTGGTGAGGACGGAGGCGAGAGGCCGCTGGAGCAGGATGGAGAAAAAGAAGAGGAGAAAGGAGATGAAGAGTAGTAGCGATGGGAGGGACGGCAACTAAGAGGTAGGGAGTAAGTGCGCGGCGACAACATCGGCATAACGAGAATCAATCGAAGATGACAATGGCGTGGATGACAAATGAGAAGCCGCGAGTGCTGGTGAGGTAACGTCAGAGGTAGGAGAGGGAAGGAGAGGCTGGGCCAGGTGGGCAGGATATGCCAGAGGTGGGAGGGCGGTGTGTGCATCTACCTTGTTGGTCGAGCTTTGAGCGAGGGAACGGAACCGCATTTGCTGTGGCTGTTGGGGCTGGTACGGCTGCGACTGTGGCTGGTATGTAGACTGCGGCAGGTATGGCGACTGGTGCTGTTGGTGTAGCTGTTGCTTGCGCTTCTTCTTTTCAAGCTGAGGGCAATGGGTGATGGCGTGACCAGCATCCTTGCAATAGCGTCAGGAAGTGGTAGAGGTAATCGAATGAGGCTTGGAGGATCCAGGATGAACGACATAAGCACCATCAACAGGGAGCGACGAATTCTTTGTTGCATGGTCCCACTCAGCATCCACGAGACGTCCCT